GCATGTTGACATTCACAATCACTGGTTGCGTCAGGAAGTGCAAAGACAACATATTAAGGTTGTCTGGGTGGAATCAGCGATGATGGCAGCGGATGGACTGACGAAGGCATTGCCAAAGATCAAGTTCAACAGCTTCAGAGAGGCATGTGGTCTTAGGGCAATCGGGCACCTGATAGGAGACGCTGAGGATGATAAATAAGGAGTAGATGATAGACTGAGTAAGATCTGGTAGCATGGGCGACCAGATCGGGGGTGTGTCAGTCTATGCACGTGCCAATATCACGTGACATGTGGAAACACTGGCCACATAAGAGAGGAGAGCCAGGGGTAGGGGACCAGAGAACAATCATACAATCCATTAGTCTAGACACCATAGAATGAACTAGACAACCTTACGGTCCGACTTATGCATCATTCATCATTCCCGTGATCCTCCGCACGGACATTGACACACGCATTGGGCTAGGCCCAACACGCCCCACTTCGCCTTGTTGTGTAAACAAGACCAGCCGACCCTTACGCTCCTCATCTGTTTTCCATCACCACCATCTTCAGCCGGTTGTCGCCGCCTGTATCATACTGGCTAATCTACTAATACTTGCTCTATTATTCGGCTCCTGGAGGCTTGAGGCCTCTGTATTGCATCCTGCGTACCTCAATCCCCTCAATGCTCCGCATTGTCTGTTACACCTCTCTGTTCACCTTCTGCCCTGAGGGCATGTTCCATAAGTCTGATAGCTTCAATAGCTAAACTACGCCTGCTCAGGATAGCCCTGAGGTTGTTCCTTCCTAGTTGCCCTTCAAAATGCCGTTTCCTCTCATCCTTGAGCGACTTACACTGCAGCAGGACGTGCATAACAGTTTGCGGGCCTTGGTGGCACCCCCGGCAGGTCGCGTCCTGGTATCCTGGTACTCTCCGGCTGGCCAGGAAGTGATGGAGACCGATCTTCTTGGTCCTCATCTGTACCAGGAGAGCGCTCTGTCTTTTGCTTAGGTCCTTGTGTAGCTTCAGAGTGCGTTTGGAAGGCGTCGGGTTGTGGCGGTATGTCGCCCTACCCTTGCTGTCCTGTGCCCACTCCCTCTGCCACATTGTGGCTGCTTTCTTTGCTGTCCACATCTTTAGTGTTGCCATTGAACGAGCTAAATCCACACATTGGAAAGACTTCCTCGACCGAGCTGCAGACGGGAACCTTCTATGGAAGGCCGCGAAATATGCGGAACCAGGTACCGAATATGCAAACATTCCACCACTGCGCGATGGGGAGCAGCAAGCGATGGAAAGTGAAGACAAGGCCAAGCTCTTCGCTATTAAGGGACATTACTGGTATAGGTGTAGGTGGGAAGAATGATTCCATGAATACATAGCGGAGGCTGAACTTCCCTGGGAACCAATCACCGAGGGCGAGATCTATGCCGCGTTGGTCACAACAAAGGATTTGTGTGCCCCAGGAGATGACGGGCTACCATATGTTGTGTGGAAGAAAACCTGGAAACATATATCACCTATTATCACTACCCTATTTGAAGCAGCACTTCGCCTAGGACACCACCTAAAGTTATGGAGAATAGCAACCATTGCAGTCCAGCGCAAGTCAGGGAAGCCAGACTATACGCAACCTAGCGCGTACAGGCCCATCTCTGTACTCAATATATTAGGTAAACTCCTAGAAGCAATAGTTGTGAGAAGAATATCATACTATGTAGAGTGCCACAACCTTCTCCTAAGTACACAGTTTGGAGGCAGGCCTGGGCGATCCACTGAACAAGCACTCCTTATCCTAGTTGACGCAATATGGAAAGCATGGAGACAGAGCAAGGTAGTGACACTGTTAGCCCTTGACGTTAAAGGCGCCTTCAACAGCGTCAATCGCCTAGCCATGAACCAAATACTCTGTAAAATAGGGATACCAGTAGTAGCACAATAGTGGATAGACAGCTTCATGAAAGACAGATGGGCAAGCTTCAGATTTGACGGCTACTGCTTAGACAAGAACTTACTGGCCTACCTGGGATTACCACAGGGGTCCCCGATCTCACCCATTCTATACATAATCTACAATTAGAAGCTAGTAGACCAAATTGTAGATGATACAGGTGGTGCATCAGCATTTATTGATAATTACTTCTGCTGGCACTGCGGACCCAGCGCTGAAGAAAATACCCAAAAGCTCCAAGCAGAAGATATTCCTAGGATCAACAAATGGGCCAATCAGACTGGGTCAACCTTTGAAGTTGGGAAAACGGAGTTGATACACTTCACTCGTTCCTGAAACAAGCAAACAACTAGCTCAATCATCATGAATGGCCAGGAGGTCTCCCCCTCTAGCAATATGAAGCTCCTAGGAGTAATCTTCAACTCAGAGCTCAGATGGCGAGCCTATACATAAAGGGTATCCAAGCGAGCAACCAACACGTGTATAGGCATAAGCCGACTTCGTCACCTAAGACCAAAACAAATGCGGCAGCTATACCAGGCATGCGTGTTACCTAAACTCGACTACGCCTCAACAGTGTGGTATAGACAAGGAAGAGTATGGCAGACGACAGTGCTCCGGAAGCATAGCGGCGATCAAATCCATCTCAGCGTTCCGCGCAGTTTCCACTAACGCGCTCGAGATCGAATCAAACCTTCTCCCAACACACCTTAGACTCAGACAAAGGGCGTTAAATATCCTAGGCAAACTTAAGACACTGCCCAGTAACCACCCAATCTGGCCGCTTGTCTATCTGACCGCGCCAGCCCCAACCCGCAGAATAATGCAAAGCCTACTTATACTTACAATTGAAACAGCGACAGAGAACAGGCTGTTTCAGAAACTTGAAATTATCAACCCAGCACCACCCCCTCCATAGCGATGAACACCATTCGCAACAATAAAAACAATACGCAGCAGAGAAGAAGCCAAAATAACAACTAAGTTACTGGGCTAAACACCTTTATTAACTATATAAGTTTGTTATCTCTTGAATAATTGATAAAATAGGTGGCACTGCGCTAAGCCGTTTACAGCGATTTAAATTACATTACAGCTAGTGGGGGGGACAAATCTCAAAGGGGGGACAAATCCCAGAATCGGGGGGACAAATCTCAGCAGCCTGCATATCCTAACTAGGATGGGTCAGGGTAAATGAAAAATCAAATCAAATCAAATCAAATCAATCAAGCAGGTGGTCTATATTTTCTGGACTATATGTATTCGTTGCCATCGCTGCTTGCGCTGCCACAGCAGCATAGCTTGCTATAGCCTGCTAATGCTGTGTCCTTTTGCTTCTGAGTACCGTCCTGCCTATGTCAACTGCCTCAGTCGCCGCTGTCTTTGCCTCTTTCCCCACTGCTGCTACTGCTTATATATTTGCCTTTATTGCCTCTATTTCTTCTCAGATATATCAGAAGGCTTTATTAATACTTTTCCATCCTTTCACTGTCTCTGTGCGCAGTCAGTCTACCTTCTCTTCTAGGGTGGCTCCGTCAGGGGTATCCTTGATTTTGGCGAGCGCGAGTAGCGCGCTCTTGAGAGCTTTGCTTAGTTGCTTTCTATCGATCTCTTTATCTCTTTCTTGCAATGTATTGCTGATCTGCTTCATGATTTCTAGGACACGCTCTCGGAGGTTAGTGGGCCTGGTTACCTCCTAGGACCAGGGCGTCGCCATATCTTACGCTGGGCGGTGCGGCTTCCGAGAAAGCAGTCTCCGGTCTGCAGGAGATGTATGTGAACACAATTGAGCTCTTTATTCCAAGGGTGAGAGTTCTCGCTGTTGTTGTACTTTTTCCACCATGTTATGCATTAGGTGACTCTCATTCCTTCACCTACAGTCGGCCATATGTCATGGGGTGACCCCGTGACAATCACAGTGTATCATTTAATATATATAGAAAGTCATAGTATTCCTATAGCCCTAGGATGTGGTATAGCTATTGCCAGTGTAGGAGCATGCTATATAACTACAGTAATTTTCCTGTTACATGTTGCCAGCCTGGAGAGGTGAAGGTTAAAAACATAATTTTATCAGCGGTTTTATTTTCATGAGCTCGGAGGGGAGATTTTATGTGCCTGGAATGAGCGTTCTTTTACCTTGTGGAGGGTGTTCCGTAAGTCAGGGAATAGTCAACTATAGATAGATATGATTCCATTTTTGTTTCCGTTCTACAGTTTCCTGAATCTTACAATCGTTTAATGCACTTTTGAAGACATCACAAGGGTGACAAGGTCGGACCTGTCACCTGGTCAACTCAGTCTGGAGCTTGCACTCATCTGGGGCCAAAAAGAGCGCAAAAGTCAAAAGAAGGGAACACCCACAATTGATAAACCCTCGCATGATATATAGTCTACTCAAGCACTATGCTCTATATAGGAGTTATAGAGGAGTGAATTGGCGAGAATTAAATTGTTATGCTGAGGCAAGAGGCGGTTGCTGCAAATTTAAGAGAAGGAAAGAGTTAAGGGACTGCAGAGGACTGGCTAAATTGTCTCCTCCCTCTTCTCCTTTTATTAGTATCTATGTCTAGAGAAACTGGCCTGGAACGAGGTTTTTTTAACGTCTTTTCCTTTTTATGGGGTAATACTGTCGGCTTGCAGCCCATATACAAATGTATAGGTTCGTCACTCTATCTTAAGGAGGAAACATGCCATCTTACGAGCCTTAAAAAGTCTGGCATGGCCTCAACTTGCTGAAACGGGCTATAAGTGGATATCAGTCACATTACGACACTATCTAGCTTATCTAGGAGTTTGTTTGCATCTTCTCTTTATTAGAATTAATCTGTCTTAAAACTATAATCCTCTATCTAGTCTTCGTAACTTTTCCCTGCTATTTTGTGATTTTGATAGCCGATTACTCCTTGCTCTAAGCAGCTAAACCATTCCAAAGAGACTTACATTAGTATCACTTGACGGATTAGGGAAGTGTTCCTAACATTAGAAAGCCTGCCGATGAGAAGATTTGTCACACAAGATCAAGGCGGTAGTGGTTAAAATACCTGTACCGCGAATTTCCAATGGCTACAAACATTTATGACCGTAGCCTTCGTGACTCCTGTTCTTCAATTTGTTGACCGAGGGATAAAATTCAAGTTCATATATGTCAGAACTCCTAAAGCCTAGCTTAGAGGCTTTCTTTCGAATCTTGCGATTCATCGACTGGTCTGTTGCCACTAGTGGTCTATTAGAACCTCAAAGCCGCGACATTTCAATCCACTCACAGAAGAGTGCGACCTGATTATTCTCCCCAATCTCCATCAGACAATGATCGATATCCATACGAGTGAAGAAGACATTGTGCAGGCCGCTTCGCCCTTTTATTTCGGATTTCCCTTTCTTTTCGGGGTTGATTGGCTTGATTATGAAAAGATAAAGTTTAAGCACCTAGGAGCTCAAGTCAACGATAGCACAAACTGCAACGGAAGGGTAGTCAGACTTGAAACTTGTCTTTTTTTATTAGTTTATTCATATGATTTGCGGTCCAGCTAGATTGTACTAGAGTTATAGTCAGCGAGTTACCCACCTAAATTTTTTTGGGATAATATACTTTCGGTCTCGATCTCCCAGAACACAACTACCTGCGTCACCTTTCCCACAGATACCTCTGGCAGTAATCCTTCAATATAGGCCAGCTCACCTGATATTCCGACTCCGGTAGCAAAAAATAAAACTTTGTCATATTCATCAAGTTTAGCACCGTGCCCGTACGGGCCTTCTATGATGACTTTTTGAATAGCTTGCCCTTTGGTTGACTTCTCATTTATGTTCTCGAGGTATTTATCTGCACCTAAGATATGCTTAGTGAAGCCATTTCTTCTTTGAATAAGCAGGATGATGAAGTTTTCGTCTTCTTTAGTATCACACTTAAAAAAGTAGAACGGGTGGGATTGTGTGCCCACGCGAAGGTACACGTATTGGCCAGGTTTATAATCCCACGGACGTACCAAGCGAATCAGAACATGTGCTGCATCTGCACATACGATATTGGCAACATCATTTCCCACGTTGTGCGCGAATACACATGTATCAACGGATGCTTCGTTTCGCCAACTACCGGCACTCAGGTTACGGAAGATTATGAAGCAAAGTCGTAATAAGGCAATAAGGGAGTGAATGCAGATTGCCATAAGAAGGAATATATTAGGAACAAGAAGTATCGTTTGCGTTGAGACATGGATATGAATTAGGTTGGCGATGATCAGAATGACAGCCAGCAACCAATGTGAAGTGAGAAAAATCTCGAAAGCTTTTCGGCGCAATAGTAGAGAGCACAGCATTAATGTAAGTATCGTTACCGCCTGGACAAACTGAGCAGCATTCATCTCAATCGGAAAGACACTTACTACAAGTCCGGCAACATTGGACAGAACGTGCATATCTGGCTGATGCTGGATTGAGGCGACGACGACGTGAGTAAATCCTTCAAATATTGCAACTCTACCTATCCATCTATGTGCTCTTGCGTATGTGTCAAGTCGAAGGTGTAAGGTATTTGCTAGTGGGTTCATATCACCACCAGCTGATAAAGGTATGAAATTGAAAATGGCAGCACGCGCACAACGTTGGCCAAAGCTAGCCTTATCGCCGATACCGAAAGCCAGATACAGGAGGTTGACTATAACGAATACCACAAAAAAATACAGCGCCAGATAGCATAGAGTATGACGAAAGAATTTCGTGCCAATGATAGTGATGTTTCGAGGTGCGAATTTGGCGAGACCAGCAACGAGGAGGACTACCATAATGAATGCGCCAAGAGCGACTAAATACCAAATGACTGTATTCATATTGATGCGTTAAAAAACAGGACTTAAGGATTTGTCGCGTGCATATAAACCCAGAAAATGGGGCCGGAATTAATGCTATCTCTAGTTATCACTATATATGTCGTTGTCTATAATTAGACGCCACTTGTTTTATATGAACTCTTCTCGAGTCATGTAGAATCTTAGTTTCACCCGAGATGTCCCATTTCCCGGTTCGACCAAATGCTAGCAAAGGGCGCAGTGCCCGACCCTCATTGGTTTTACCTTCCGAAGAAAGTCAATTACGGATACAAGCTAAAGAAATAGCAATAGCACTCGGCAGTCACCATCGTTCGAACATAGACTGCACATACTTAGCCAGAACACTAAGTAAACTCAGAACACAGTCTATCTTATTGAGCAGGCTCGCCTTGGCCGAAAATCAATCTAAAGGTTTGATTGGCTCGCTGGAATTAAGTTATGGGGAGTATGAAGCGACGTTGATGAGAGTAGAGCGTCAGATGGAACAATTGATGAAGACGCTGGCAAATAGTAAAAGCTGAGAGGAAATCGTCAGCGAGATCGGCTAAGGTTTTATTTTTATTTTTTTTTTGTTTGAATTCTGATTACCGGTCATGTCGGAAATCATTGTCAATTGGCCCGCGCTCGGTGGGTGAAAACACTTTTCGCGTCTGAAAACTGTATTCTATATAAATCCTTATCATTAGGTCAACAAATCTGATTCAAATGCGCCATCTAGAGATCCATCAGCAACATCGCATTAAGATTATGGTTATTCGTGGTGTATCAACCGAAAACATTGCGAAGGAGGTGGACTGTGCATCTCAGACCATTTGACGATGATGATGTCCATTTAAGTTATAGTCCGTTTCAGCCAGTTGGGGCTATGCCAGACTTTCTAAGGCTAGTAAGATGACATGTGTCCTCCTCAAGATACAACGTCTAACCTGTACATTTGTATATGGGCTGGGAACCAAAGCCGACAGTCTCACCCCATAGAAAGAAGGGAAAAGACATGAAAAATCCTCCTTCCAGGCTAGTATCTCTAGACACAGATACCAATCTAGAGGAGAAAAGGGAGGAGACAATTGAGCCAGTGCTCTGCACTCCCCTAACTCTTTCCTTCTCTTAATTGTGTAGCAGCTGCCTCTTACCTTGGCATAACCATTTATTTCTCGCCAAGTCCCTCCTCTATAACTCTCCTATAAGAGTATAGCGCTTGAGTAGATTGTGTGTCATGCGAGGCTCTATCAGTTGTGGGCGTGCGCTGATTGCCAGACAACTTCAGATAGATGAGGATTTGGTACTCCCTCCTTTTTGAAATTGCGCTCTGTTTAGCCTCAGATAAGAGCAAGCCCCAGTCTGAGTTCATCAGCTGGCACCACGAGGAGGTGACAGATGCGACTTTGCCACCCTTTATTGATCCATGAGGTGGTGTGTTATCGTAGTTCAAGTGTTGAATTTCTCTCCACGGCGTGATTCTCGCTGCGCACGGACAGACGTTGTATCTTTAGTATTAAAAATTATAAATATAAAATTATTTGCGAAGGTAAAAAGTTTGTAAAGACAAAGTACCTCTGGTTTGTCCCATTTCAAGTTGCGTTCCACAATCAAGGGACTGACGTTACTGTGCAGTCTAATTATGAAAGCTACATATAAAATTGAGACAAAACCAAGTCCCGACCGTGTGATAGAGTGTAAACTGTGGTGGTAAACGTACATTCTGACTTGCTCAATTATCATGAGTCAATTAGCCCTGAATACAATGCTCTACTTCCCTGAAAATTCGCATGGTAGACCAGATGTTTGCCATCGGCGGCAACAGACAGCCCACCCGGCGCATCTAACCCATTATCTCCCGTAACAAGAAAAGACCCTTTCTTTGTGTAGTTGGCAATTATACTTGGCGCGACAGCGAACTTCACTGTGTACTCGGGAGTTAAAAAGCAGCCAGAGCTGTAAAAGAGCACATAGGTGCCGTTTGAAAGCCGCATAATACTTGGGGCTTCTATAATCTCCGGATCTGTTTCGTCAAGACCGAGAATTTGAACTGGGGTACCAGTCCCTGTTGGTGTAATACCATCGTTTGCCACTGCAACGATCATAATAGGAGTTGGTATAGTATCTGTACCATTGTTTCCACAGACACCGTCGCTGCCGGTATTACTGTTAAGAGAGTTTCCGTCTATTTTATAGACAATGTACCGCTGTTGGCTACTATCCATATAACCGAACGCATCAATAGCGCCTCCTGTTCCGTTTGATTCAATTACAGGAGAATAAGCATTACCTTGGCCAGTTGGGGAAGGACAAATCAGAGGGTCCTTGCCCAATGGACTATATGGTCCTGTGGCATTAGGGGATACGGCTGCACCAATACAGTGATGGGCCGGATAATCACTCAAAGTGGCTGTATAATACATGATAAAGTGGCTACCATTCTGCCGTAGATCAGCTTCAGTACATATGGTATGCTAAATCTCCTCACATAAGATACATCAGGCGCCCAAACTGGTCCATTTGCTTTGGCCCAAGCTGGTAGAGACGAAGAAGGCAGGGAATCGTTTGGACTTCGGTTCCACTGAATAAAATCGCTTGACCATGCTACAGGGACGTTCTTTCCCCCTTCATTCGTAGAAAATGCATACCAATTGGAGCTAGAAGAGTCATAGACTAACGACGGATCCGAGAAGTTAGCTAGCGCTGGAAGTGCCGTAAGATTCAAGGATTGGCAAAACCTGACGAGTAGGACAGCTAGAACCAACTGCAAGATTCTATAATTCATTTCTGTTCATTACAAAATTCAAAGGTATAAGACTGAGGCTTATCGTTGAAATAAGGGAATGCGTCAACCATATAGCTCCGATGCTAGGAAGAATGACCAAAAATAGCAGATCCTAACTAGAATTACGGGACAATATTGAAGAGAATTTGGGCATAAATATAATAAACGGCTATTTATAAAGTTATACTCCTTGGGATCATTGATTATGGCATTCCTCCTGATCCTTGACATCGTCAGAATACGAAATATACTGTGCTTTGACCTGTGCTAAGAGCAAGAATTTAGTGACAAAAGGTTCAAGAGGGTCCTTTTAAGGACGGATTCAACTAGGTGCTCTTCTCCTCACGAGCTCTACTGAATGCAATCATTGGTTCATTAATGTGCAGATCGCAGAGGGTTCAGTACGATTTCACATGATGATGGACCCAGACCAGAACGGTGATACGACTTATGACATCAAATAATCTCAGAATGCGGTGACGGGCCGTGCCATCAAACTGCAGGACTTCCAGCCTATCATTCAGCTTAAGGTGGGACACATAGACCAAGCCATAAGGGAGAGATACCTTCACCGTTAAGAGTTTGGTCCAGAGGGTTCTGGCTGTCAGCACTGCGTGAAAGGGACCCGCAATGCACAAATGTGCTTGGGATAAGTCTTAGCTACCTAGTGATCGCTTATTTAGAGGAAAGAAGGTGGCTGCCACAAGGGAGCAAGAATAGGGCCTGGGATGCTGTGCAGCAACGTTGGTCAACAAGAGCTAGAGCAGATGGAGAGACAGAATAGTTTCTAAACGGATCGATATAGTTTATGGAAGCGAATATCAATAGGTGCACGACGAGGAGGACGAAGTTGATGATGATGATGACGATGCCGACGACGGATCTGCGCCTGCTACAGCTCCTATTCCTCCCGGCGCTTACCTCGCTTCGAATCGACGCTTGTATCCTCTGCCAGGCTTCTACCGCGCCTCGGATGGTAACTACTACCGCAGATAACTCTGATGAGCTGGCGAGCCCTGTGAAGTTGACTGTTAACCAGGTATTTCACACCTAAATAGTATTATTAATAATCTAACAAACTAGGTCGTCTTCGCACTTAAGCATCCTGACTTTCAAATAAAGTGGGATAAGCTTCTTAATGATTATCAGCATCAGAACTATGCAGGTATCTAAAGGAGAATCACTATGAAACACACGCTCAATGGGTAAAGGCTTGGACATCCTATCATCGACACTATAATACAATTGTAACTTCTCCCGTTGAAGGAATGCATAAAGTACTAAAGGATTATTTACTGATTTCTATTGGCGATATACTACGTGTTGTTCAGAGAGTTGAGCAGTTAATCCATAATTAGTATAATAAATATGAGAAGGAGATCGCCTCATCTATGCATAACATCAAGTTTGAGCATATGCATGGGAAAATGTTGTTCCTGCCGTCTAATATTTAATAACCACACCGCCTGTAAGGAGTTGGTGATAGGAGTGTGAGATAGATCATAGGATTCAAGATATGATTGATTGATTGATTAATCCTACACGGTTTCAGCCACTTCTTTTGTCGCGTAGCTATGCCCGGCGGAGGATAACGTGGCCTCAGTCTACCAGCACTTGTTGAAAAGTTGGTGGATTTTGGACCTCGTGACGCTTGGTAATCGGCCGACACGCATTGGGCTAGGCCCAACACGCCCCACTTCGCCTTGTTGTAGAAACAAGACCAGCCGACCCTTACGCTCCTCATCTGTTTTCCATCACCACCATCTACAGCCGGTTGTCGCCGCCTGTATCATGCTAGCTAATCTACTAATACTTGCTCTGGTATTCGGGCTCCTGGAGGCTTGAGGCCTCTATGTTATATCCTGCGTACCTCAATCCCCTCAATACTCTGTATTGTCTGTTACGCCTCTCTGTTCACCCTCTGCCCTGAGGGCATGTTCTATAAGTCCGATAGCTTCAATAGCTAAACTGCGCCTGCTCAGGATAGCCCTGAGGTTGTTCCTTCCTGGTTGCCCTTCAAAATGCTGTTTCCTCTCATCCTTAAGCGACTTGCACTGCAGCAGGACGTGCATAACAGTTTGCGGGCCTTGGTGGCACCCCCGGCAGGTCGCGTCCTGGTATCCTGGTACTCTCCGGCTGGCCAGGAAGTGACGGAGACCGATCTTCTCGGTCCTTATCTGTACCAGGAGAGCGCTCTGTCTTTTGCTTAGGTCCTTGTGTAGCTTCAGAGTGCGTTTGGAAGGCGTCGGGTTGTGGCGGTATGTCGCCCTACCCTTGCTGTCCTGTGCCCACTCCCTCTGCCACATT